ATGGACCTTGTGAATTTGTAAATCCTCCAGAAATGATAACCATTAAATACCATAATGTGGTGGATTTCATTAATTTGAAGGGCTAAATAGTTCTTTGTGCACAGAATATTATAAATTCTGATGACAGTATGAAAAGCCAGAACAATAAGCAGAACTGTCAAAAATATAGAAACAACCTTTATCAAAAAAAAAATACAGAAACAACATCAAGAAATACCTAAGCAATTCTGAACTTCCTATATCTGCATTTGTCCATCACTCTAGAATATCCATCAAACAACACAGAATAAACTTTCAAGTTTTTAGAAACATAAAAAATGAAACCCCATTCTTCAATCTCAACGAGGTGGTGACCAGTGAGTTCTTGTTTTGCACCAGTTAGTAGTTGAAGCCAAAGACCAGTTTGCCATTGAATCATCCAATATTGCCACAGCTATGAATTATCCAACATACAAAATTTAAGCACAATGCATACATATTAACTAAAAGAACAAGACCAAAAAAAAAACAGAAGAAATATTCAAAGAAAGGAAAAACTATCTCAAATACTCCATCACTTCTTGTACTAACTTTGGATCACACTTTATTTGATTTGGTAGTGGACCTTCCTTTTCCATGACTTCTTTTCTTATGTGTGGAAGATCATATTTATTAGAACCTCTGTCCTTCAAGATTTCTACCATGCAACATTAAAGTGTTAAAATATTTTGTTAGACTTAGCGGATGGAAATGATTCAAATGATCTAATCACTACCGCAATCAAATCATCAGTTGTTTTTGGTGTTTCCTTGTACTGTAAAGATTGTATACCATTAAAGAAGCCAAGATCTAGAATATTCAAGTCAGGAGAATTAGGAGGTTGGTTCATCAAGCGGATGCAAAACCCATCTTCTGTGGCAACTCGATAAAACTCACTGTCATTTGGATCAATGTGACACCTTGCATTATCCTGTTGAATATAAATCGGCTCCCCTATTGAATCTTTAGGCCACTTTGCTTTTATAGTAGGCACAACATGTCCAATAAGAAACTGTCTACTAACTTCTTTGGTAACTGAAGTTATAGGCTTTGTTATCAATGAACCTGCAGGTCTATTGACACTCTTTCTCTTTGCTGGCTCTTTTGTCACTAAAGGAAAGACTCCAATTTTCCCGGAGAAAGTTTCATTGCCTTTGTAGTCAAACCTTGGGCGGGCAACAGCAACCAAGAACATCACCTTTCCAATAAATTTTTTGTTTTGCACAGTACGCAATGGATCATTTTCTATTGATAGCATGTAATAGTTCACAGTTTTTTTTGGTCATATAGAACTATTTCTCATCAATGTGAACTACATTATACATGCTTTTAAAAGTTAGATCTCCTGGCACTGAACCATTTTCAATCATGGACAAACAAAACTTTAGTCGAGCAATCTTATTCTCTTCCCTCAAATATGGCTTAATGGCATTAGAGCGACATTGGATAACTCCCTTCTTTTGAAGTCTAACTAAAGGGGTTTTATTTATATTCAGTGCATAGGACAAATCTCGCAAGGTGGTTCTCTTAGCAAAAGGAACTTGAAGAAATTGAGCAGTGTGAAGTTCAACTCTCTTGCGACCACAATTTCCTGTTTTTTCATGACATGCACCATCCCCAACCTTTGTTTTTTGCCAAATACGTTTAATGACAGAACTGGATACTAAATACATTGATGCAACCTTCTTCTTAGCCCCTTTAATTAGTTTCCCATCTCGACTATACTGCAATAGGAGATAGGAGATGGCTCTGCGGTCTTCATTGCTCAAGAACCTACGGTGTTTGCCTATTCCATGATACCCAATAGTACTTGCAAATTTTATTAACCAGGAGAGACAAAAGTAACAAAGCATAAAAAATTAAAATTAACAAAAATGGAACACAGAGCAGAACATAGAGTAGCTCAGTTATCCTTACTGGCCAAGAACAAAAAGAAGATGACACACATAGATAGAAAGAGAAAGAGGATATCCCTCTCATTGTAAAGAATAAGCCAAATAAGTAGAACACAGAGCAGGACATAACCTCTATATATATATATAGATATGATTACCACAAGAAGTCATAGTCTCAAAATTATAAAAGAAGCATATAAAATTAAAAATCAGTGATGGGATAGCAGCCTACACACATGCACACATATGCAAGTAATAATTGTACTATGTATAAAGAAATACAGATAAAAATATTCCAAGTCATGCGAATACAATGTTAATCTAAAGATATAATTAGGTACCATTAGTTTCGGGTGCATGAATGTGTTCCTCCTTCATTTGATTTGGTAGTTTGTTCAGGTCCAAGAGAAACTGGCTACTATTAGTTTCGACTGCATGAACGTTTTCCTCCCTTTGTTGTTCAGCGTCATGTTCAGAGTCTGAAATTTCCACCGAAGGAACTTCCATTTCTTGAGAATGACTTGGCAGTTGGTTCAGGTCCAAGAGAAACTTACCTGAAAGTGATCTCTCTTAAAGGAAACAAAATTAGTAACCAAATTAATGACATAAAAGCGAAGTGATTACAGAATTAGTAATCGAACTAGTGACTTATGTTCAAAAAGTTCTTAATCTTTGATTAAGATAACAATAAGCTGTAAAGTCTTGAAATCATATTAATGTCATCACCTGTTTCGGATTCACCAATTCCTTTGCTGTTCAAATTCGAGTTTATGGGCATTGAGAGATTGATTCTCAGCAGCGACTATGTATAGCAAGCAAGTCGAATGCCACATGCACTTCCAGAGAGATAAGCTCGTAATCTTATCGGCGACAGTAGAAGCGACGATCAAAACAAAAATCTGCAAATGAATCTTAAATAAACACAATGAATCAATAAAAACACATCGACGAAGGATAGAAGTTTTTAGATTGAGGAAAATCTGAAATTACCAAGCAGAAATTGGAAATCGTAGTACAGAGAGAGAGAGATGATGGTCAGATTTGGTGCTCACGGCATGGTTGGATTAGGTGCTGTAAAACTGAGGGTTCTCGTGGGTTCACGTGGTCGGATTAGGCGTTGGAAAACTGAGGGCTCGCGTGGTCGGTAAAGGGGCTCACAATCGTGCAGGGATATTTTCAAAAATTTGATGAGGGTATTTTTGGAAAACAGGTGCTATTTTTTAACCATTAACTAACCTAACTAACTTCTTTAATCTCTCCAAATTAGTCAACTGGGTCTTATAATTAGGACCGGAGGTAGTATTAAAATAATTTATTTGTTTATATGTTTGAAAATATAAGTTAGTTTAGGCTAATGGTTGGATTATATTTCTGGACTTTGGAAATCCAAGGTATAAGTTAATGATCGATGTTGCTCGTGGTATAAGTTTATTTCTTTTAACCATGATGGATATTTTAAAATTTTAAGGTTCTTCTTTTCTATCATGGTTAATCTTTCGAATAAATGGTTTGATTTAATCTAAATGGGTCTGAAAGAACGGTCGTCACATTAAATACTATACCAAACTTGTTAATAGGTTTAAGGAATTTGTTAACGACATTATTGATGTTGTAAAAATATTACTTTTTGAATTTACTGAAAAATCTGTTGTTAACTGCTATACTGAACTTGTTAATAGAGTTATCAAACTTGTTAACCATGTTACTAAAGTTGCAAAAATTTTCAAAAAAATTAGTTCTGGCGGCCGGCCGACCAGTAGAGATATTTGATTTTTTTTAAAATAATAAATAAAATAAAAGACAATATGATCATTTTAGCAAATTTGCAAATTCCAAATTAGTCACTTATGCCTAAATTAAGATTTTACAAATTCAAATCACCATTTTGAAATTTTTAAGTTTCAATGTCATTTTTGTGTCTTTTTCTTCAGCTTTTTTTTTTTTAATTTTTGTTGGCTGCTTTGTCTTATTTGTGTTTAGTTTTTATTAAAAAAACAAAAAGATTTATTGCATCCCCATAGCAGATAGAGCCGGGAATCAGGGTCGGCCCACCTTCCAGGGCTGAAATTTTAAAAATACCCCAATTTACTAGGCCCGGCCCTTAAACTACAGGGCCAAGGCCGGCCCGCGGGCTTTTGGCCCGTTTAAGAAAAAATACTATTTTTTATATTTATCATATTTTTTTATAAAAATATAAAAATAAACCAATGAAATTATTAATAAAAGACATAAATATGAATAAAATTAAGTCACAAATATAAAATAGTATCATATATAAATATTCATCAACATCTAAGAACATCTAAAACATTCATTAACAAGATAACAACATCTAAAAGTTTTATCTATAATGCAATTGTGCAATAAATAAACACTATCATTAATCTTTTGAAACTTCATCATCACTATAATTAATTATTTTTCTTCATAAGTATGCTTTTCTTTCGTAACAAAAATATCAAGTTTTTCTTCTTTATAAGAATTTTATTTTTAAATTTTGCAATCTAACTATTATTTTACTTTAATGTGAGAAACATTGTTGTTGAAACTCATGAATTTCTAATTCAAATTATAGAATCACAAGTTATATAAGTATAAAAATATTCTATTATCAAATATATATATAGTTTAAAAATATCAACGCATATAATATAAATCAAATCATTATTAAAGTCCAAATTAACCCATTTTTTAAAAATTTAATTGGATAAATTATTGTCTAAAACTAAATTTAATTTTAAAATGATAATAATAACTAAATATTTGAAATATTATTAACAATGTAAAAAATTAATAACATTAATATTATATAAAAAAATTAAAAAATAAAAAAAATTATAAAAGGGTTTAAAAGGGCCGGCCCGCGGTCCTCCAGGGCCGGCCCTTTTAAGCCCTCGACCCTCCAGAGCCAGCCCTCCAGGACTTATTTTTCATTTTAAAAGAAAAATATCAAACCCGACCCTCATAATTTCAGGGCCTAAAAGGCCGGCCCGACTGGCTTCGACTCGTTTTTCCGACTCTAAATTAGCAGAGAGAGGGACGAACATTCTGGCAAAAAAGGAAAAATCACTATCGTGCTCGATTATTTTCCCTTCAGACTACCTGCTTTGTTCTCCTTTCCATTAACATGGCTGTGTTGTGCTTGTTTGTTCTCTCCGATCGCTGCTGGTGGGGATTGAAGTTTGGGTGCTTCACTCTTCTTGCTTTTTCGTGACGTTGCTGTTTAAGGGTGTAGGCAGATCGCTATCTTTATTTCTCCTCTTCTACTCCTGTGCGTCCATTGTGCGGGCTATGAATGAAAAGCTTCTTCTTCCTTTGATTTTCAGAATGCTCCATTCTATTATGTGCAGAACGTTGCTTCTTCTTCTTTGTTGTGCCATACGTGGATTGGAAATGGTGGTTGTTCCTCTTCTTGGTGATGGGTTTGACTTGTATCAAGTTTTGGCGATTAGCTAAGATTGGATTTACAATTGTAATGGATGAAATCGGGGACTATGGTCTTAAGAAGAATATTTTTGAAGCTTGTCGAATTGTATGCACACTAGGTATTTGATAAAAGGTTTGGAAGGAAATGGACTTACCTAGGCATGTGTTTCTATATCATTTTGATGATGGAGAAGAATTTAGATTCTATGTTGGATTGACTGTGATTTAAATATTCCTCAGAGATAAATTTAGAAGCTTTATAGCTTCTAATGACATTGGAGAGAGGATCGTTCGGAAATATTGATGATTAAGTTTGCTTGTTTTTATGTTAGCACTAGGATGCTTATGAGGTGTTTGATTGTGTTTATTGAATTGTTGGAGATTATTGTTAAATGATTTAAAGAATATAAGTATGAATTAGGATATTAAGATTTTGGTTAAGGTAGTGGATATGAATTAGATGGATCTATTCTTACGTAGAAGAATTTGGTTTTGTAAACTCGGTAAAAGAAATGACATTGAGATTGTTTTGGGCTAATGTGAATCGGTGGATCGTAACATCTAGTGAGTTATTGTGTTGGAATTACATGCTCTTTTGTGAGATTTGGAAGGGGGAAAAAAGAAGGATGCTGCTTATATCTAGACATATTATGATAATGTATTGATTTAAACTCTTGATGCATATAAGGTATTTGTTAAAAGGTTTGAAGGGAAGTCAGTCATTACTCTAATGAATTGTTGAATGTGGCTAAAGTGATAGGGAGTAAATCATAATGTATTGGATGGGAAAGTATTTATATATAGGGTAGTGACTGAATTGGAAGTGAAAATTATGGTTGAGCTTGGAGAAACTTAGAAGCATATAGGATGGTACTTTGGAACTTTAGGATATTGTGGTTGCCTATTGTTGAGTTAATGTCGGAAGGGAGTTATATAGCTTAAAGATAACGAATGAAAATTCTTTTTATATATATTTATAGAGGGTGTGCGGGGAAAGAAAATCTTGATAAAAGGTGTAAGAAGTAAACTATAGAACTTGGGAACACATCCAAGTGACTGAATAGCGTCTCAATTAATCAATGAATAAGAAGTTTGTTTTATTTACATTTTTTTCAATAGATTTACATGCATTTTAGTATTGTTCTAATTATGACAATAATGTATCATTGGAAGCAATTTATTTATTCTGGTTTGTTTTGAAAGGAAGTAAAATTTATTCTAGGATTGATTTTTTTTTTTTTTTGTTTTGAACTTAAATACTTAATTATAATGTTTGAACTATGGCTTAAATGATTCTTGATTAAATTATATTTCAAATAAGGTTATCATGTGTTTACTTTTATAAAGGATGCTTGTTAAATATCAATAATTTTTTTTATATGAAGATATTTGAGAAGTTGAGGATTTTATTCAATTAATAATTTTCTTAGCTTTATGCTACAAATTTTTATTAATGCATGGAATGGATCATAAATTTTTGGAAGTTATTACTCCTTGGGATTGAAGGGGCTGAGAACTGTTAAATTTTCAAAGTTGTTTAAATTCCATGCATGCTGGAAAAATGTTTTCAAAGGACTGAGAATAGAACACTAGTTGCATATGGCAAATCTTTAGCCCTTGGTGCACCATGGCACCCCAAGCTAGCAGGGTGATTTAGAGGTGCTAGCCATGTGTGGCAGACAACACATGTGGAACGGAGGGTGGATTTTCGTGACTATAGTTCACGCCTGTTTTTTTGTGGGCCTTATGCGCATGCCTGTTCTCATGGCTTCTGTCCACGTTGGATATGTTATTTACTCTCATGGATTGTGTGTCCATGCCTGTTACTATTCCACGCAGGTCCTAATAAAAAAAATGGAAGTGTTTTTTTCCCCCCCTTCTTCAAACTCTTGTTGATTGATTTTCAAATAAGCAAAGTTCTTGGAATATATTTTTATTTAAAATATCATAATTAATTCTTTCGTTGTTTTCTTATACTCCTAGGTACCTATATGTTTAAGCAGTGAATAGTAATATAGTTGATTTTTTTAACTGCTTGAGTGCCAAACTACTTCATCCTCTTAAGGTTTAACAACTTTATTATTATATAGTTATGTTTTATTGTTGTGATATTATTCACCAGAAAATATTTTGCTCTCAAATCTTGCAGCCGATCCTGTACTCCTACTTCTCAGTGAGAGGCATTTATGCTGAATTGGAGTTGAAGTATTGCTCTAAACAATCCCCATTTTCATGTAAACTTCAAACTTATGTATTATATTTTGTAAATTCTATTCTTGATGCCTCATGTGAATCATAGTTAGGGTCCTGCTTTTTTACATGCGTTGTATATCTGTTGGCCCAGAATAGAGCTCCTTCCTACTGAATTGTGTAATTCTGCAGCTGTAGAAATTAGGGAAAGTCTCATTTTTAGGGGAGGCTCTATCGAAATTTCTATAGAAAGTCTACTAGCTTTGTCTAGAGAAATATTTTCAAAGGCTTTATATTAAGTGTAGCTTCATATGCCTGTGGTCATATGTCAGAAATTATATATACTCTAGGCTTGAGGAATGTGGCTTTTCTCATATTCTGGGTCAGTTACTCCTTGTTTTTGGGGGGTGAGACAGTATATGGGAGAAGCGGATAGAAAAATCCCTGCAGCCTAAATTATCAGCTTGTTTTTTGTTTCTCTTTGATAGATGGCCCACAAATTGTTCTGTTAGATGGTAATTTTTTCCCTTCTTTTGCCTTCAAGTACTTTTAAATACAGAATATTTGAGGTTATTTTTAAAGAAAACCTATGAATATTTCTGTCTCTGATTATTTATAAATCTTCATTTCAGATCCATGGCCCGTTGGAGTGGAATTTTGAGGATTCCATTTTATCCCAAGCCCAGGACTTATCATAGAGTTGGTGCATCCATCTGTCTTTCTCCTGAATCCAAAACATTGAGTGTATGTTACTTGATCTTGAAAACCTATAAAAGAATAAAGCAGTTCGTTCTTCAAAACTTTTCTATGTTTCCGTAATTCTTAAATCTTACATACTTTAGCTTTAGGTCTAGCTATGTTTACAGCAAAAATAGTAAATATAGCCATGAACTTAATGCTAGTTCTTTGGTATCCCAATATTTTCTTTGTGACTGACTTAAGGAAAAGGCAATCCATTTACCATTTTTTTCTCTGTCTGATGGTCTATCATGGTGAATTTTTATTTTCCCTTTCTGAAATGTCTTACTCCATAACATGGTTGAATTTTAATTTGTGAGTTTCTTGGTAGTTTTCCTTCGATTTGGAAAAATTAAAAAAATTACTGTACGTTGATGTGGGTGCATTTTCGGTCAATTTCAAATGTTATCTTAGCTTAAATACTTGGAAAAACTTGCATACTCATAGTGGATATAAGATATGATATTACACGGTACAATAAACATTTTATACTTATGCATCCATATGCATCCGTATTGCTTTGTACCTATTTGTATCTCTTCAAAGTTTGGCACTAAAATATGACTATTTGGAGTTTATATAAAGTAAGATGCAAAAAAAAAGGAAGATGCTTCAGTATTTTTCCTTTTGCCAAATAATGTTTTTGCATCAAGAACAGAGACCAAAAATTATATCTGTAAGTTGTTGTAGACATTTTACTCAAGTATTTGGGTAGTTATAGCATGCATACTAAAAATGTTAGAATTAAGAATATATATATTCATTTTATCTTTTAATGAGTTGATTTATTGATTATACGTATGAAAAAACTACATAACTAATTTTATATTTGTGTGTGTATATACGCCCCTTACCCATATCTTAAAATCGCAAAAATTGTTTTTAAGCTAAGTGTCATATTGTACCATTTAGATATGTGAAGCTGTATTGGTATTACGCAGCATTGCTTACTTGAAAATATTCTATTTGGTGCAGGTACCATCAGCAAATGCTGTCTTTTTCTGTGGTGATCGAGTTGAAGGGACTGGCAATCCAGTGATTGACAGACTCTCAGATTTACAGAAAATAACTGAAATTCTGGTGTCAAAATTTGGTCATTCCATTAATGCTTGGGTTATTGAGGCTTCTGTTTTTAATGGGCCTTTTGCTGTCTACGATGAGTTCATACCTCCTGTGAATCAATATGGAGAGCCGAAGTTGTACAGTCCAGTTGGATTTCCAGCATCTACATCAACTGTTGCACTTTTATCAAATTCCCTTGAAGAAGTATGCCATGAGTTCCCCCCTGCTTCCTCTATAATTTCTGCCCCTTTTATGTTTGGGCTGTATTTGTTCTGTTTTTGCTGGTTATTGTTTAAGTGTTAATGATAGTGTGCAAGATTCTTCATTGCTGTTCATTTTAGATAATGCTTTAGTTTCATTACAAGGTTTGTATATTATCTACTAGTTCATTACCCTTAAGGTTACCTTCTCTTGTACTTTCTTTTGTTTTTGGTCAAGGCCTATTTTTTTTTTTTTTAATTATTTGTGGTTTACTGTATATGAATGAGAAGCTAATGCTCGTGTATCCTAGGTCTAAGCTATTTGCAGCTTGTTTGAAGTGTTCTGTCTTTATAAGCACTTGCTTCCAGCATGATGCGTAAAATGATATTTTGTTTTTCTTAATTTCTAGGAGATAGTAGCAAAAGCAACTTCAGTGTAGATTCCATTCGTTCATGCTTGCAAATTCTAGGATATATCAACGAGTGCAACTTCAGTTCACATTCTATGCATACTTGTTCGTACTTTGCAATCACTCTTGAATTGAATTGAATGCTTTCATATTCCAAGGCCTCGTTTGGTTATATGATGGGGCGAAGTATTCCTCTTCTATTCTGTGTAATATCCATTATATATTATTGTGACCATTACTCAGTAATCTTTTACTTTGTAAAAGTAGGGACACGAGAGTCATTTTAATCTCCGCAGATAATTGTTTTCATTCATTTCTTTTTTCTAAAGTTCATTACTTTTATTCTGTGTACTTGATGATTTAAGTATCAATATGATACAGGTAAAAAAGGCGGTGTTTGGACAGCAGGTAGATTCACACTCGCACCCACGATGCAAAAATTCCTCCTGTTTTGCTCATCCTAGGACAATAATCATTGGATTCAGCAAAGGTGGGACTGTGCTTAATCAATTAGTCACAGAGCTTGGCTTCTCAGATGTTGGATCCAATGGAAAATCACCCCATTCGGGACAACCAGTTGACACAAAGTTTTGTGCATTTGATGAGTCTTATATAGTACCTAAAACAAAGGAAGCCTTTCTGAATAGCATAAATGAGATTCATTATGTTGATGTTGGTTTGAACTCCACTGGTGCTTACTTAACCAATGGTGATGTGATCAAGGGAATCTCCAGGAGGCTAATGCAAGGCGCTCCCAGAGTTCGTTTTATGCTTCATGGAACTCCCCGACAATGGTCTGATGAGCGGCGTGGTTGGATACGCCGGGAAAAGGACACGTTACTCCACCTCCTTGAATCTGAAGCTCACAAGACTGGGGGGAAATTAGAAGTGTCTGAGAAGTATTATTTTGCTGATAGGCCTGCAAATTTGCAGATGCACTTTGAAATAATTGAAGCATTGGATGTGAATTAATAGGTCAAATATAGTTATACTCTACTCGCCAGCGATTGCCACGCTGCTGGTAGGACTGGGCAATGGGCAGGGTAGGCTAGCCCGAAGGTTAGCCCGTAGCCGCCCATTTATGAATAAACAGGCATGAACTAACCCATAACCCGGTAGCAATCCATTTAGCCCGCATTAAATGGGTTACGGGGCAGCTCGTTTGGGCTGACTGGGTTACAAGCTAACTCATTTGTTTTTCTGTTTTTTTTTTTGTAATTTTTTTAGTATAGTTACTTTGTATATGTAACCTTATGAAACTGTCAATAAATTTTGCATACCAAATAGCAAATCAAATATAAAATAATATTACATAATATCAACCATATTTAATCACACAACATTTAGAGTCACAAACAATCAAAGCTTGATAAAATCATAAAAGTAGTCACTAATCATAAAAAGTCTCTTAAACTTTAAAAATTCCAATTTTCACTTAAAGGATAAAATAAAAGTTTAGACAAGTATAAATGTTTGATAAAAGATGAATGAGAAACAATATCATCAATTGAATAAAAAATAAAAATATTTATAAAAAAATTAAAACTTAAACGTGCGGGTATGGACATCCCAATACCTTGCCCATAGCCCAACCCATTTAATAGGCTACCCTGCCCATTTAAGTCCGTCCATTTATAATCTCTTATTTGGGCTAATTGAGCTGGCTTAAATGGGTAAAAATTTCATGGGCTACGGGCGGGCTGGCGGGTAATGGGTTTGTTGCTCAACCCTACTACTGAGATGTAATTAATTTATAAGGGTTTGTTTAGAGAGGAGGGATTTTAATATTATTTCATTTAAATTTATTGGAAGAGGAGAGAAGAGGCTTAATGCTACCTTAGTTGAGGAGGAGGGGGGAGTAAAAATATCTCCTTCCAAAAACAAAAGATGGGCAGCTGTAAGATGGGCGGCACGGGATGCTGGTAAGGAATAAGGCTAGCCCATTCCAACTTGTTTGGGTGGCGTCTGTGTGTATATGTATACAAAAATTAATCATTTTGTTATGAAAATAAGAAATATAAGTAAGATTTGGAATGAAAGAGATGAGTAAGATAAGAGAGAAATTGAGAGAAAGAGGAGTGTATTCTTATTCATTTGGATGATCAAAATGTACATTACATAGCCTTCTATTTATAGACTCCAAAACTCAACCAAGGGTTACATAAAATAAATAACAATATGAATTCACATAAGTGTGGTACATGTAACCTCTAAGTTATGGAATAAAAACTCCTAAAAACTATTCAATGGAGAGGTTATAGAGTGTAGAATATGAAAGGTCAAGAGTTGAGAGAATTTATGGATATCCACATATTCTAATATTTATAACACTCCCCCTTGGATGTCCATAAATAAATATTGTGCCTCACTAAAACCTTACTAGGAAAAACCCAGTGGAACAAAAACCTAGTGAAGGAAAAAGAGTACACAATATATATTAAGGCTGTCTCATTAAAAACCTCAATCAGGAAAACCCTGTGGGACAAAACCTTGGTTAAGGAAAAGAGTATAGCATGATCTTTGCTCCCCCTGTCAACAGCATAACTCTATATCATTTTATCATAATAGAGTATACTGGTTTCTCAAGTCGTCCAATGCTTTTTCAAACATATCTTTTTTTAGTCAAACTATGCATAGTACATCATCATCAGCTTATATTGAAATGTATTCCTCTAACATATGTTCTAGATATGTGGAATTATCAATATATTCTTCACTTGCACTAAGAAAACTGCAAAGAAAGGTTATTCTAAAAAACACCATAATATATCTTGCATCAGCATGATTAATTTAATTTGAACAAAATGATATCATAAAATAGTTTTATAGAAGTATATATCCAATCTTAATTTCATTATTTACATGCATACCTGCAGAAACTTATTTTTACCAATAAAATTATAACACGTAATATTGACAATATATGTAAATATTATTATAGAATAAATATATAGGACTTCTAGTCTATTTAATTGAATATATTTTGCAGACAAAATTATCATAACAAAATCAATCATTTTGCAATCATTGATGCATTCAATAACTTGATCTACAGGTCAAGTAAGATACGAAATTATTTATTTTCTAATACATTTTTCTAAGCCAAATATGTATACTCGATTATTCAACATAATATTTCAAATATTGGATGATTTTTTTTCTATATAAACGCTTCTAGCATTTTAAATCCATCAAGAATTCTCATGTAAACTTTATTATTTAGTGAGCCACATGCATAGGCTATAACGATATCTAACAGACGCATATTTTGTTTTAATATACTGCCAGACTAGTAATATATGCAACAATTATTGCATCCACCACAAAATACTATGCCTAATCATAATCACTAGATCTTTGTGAAATTCTTTATTTTCACAAAAATATTCATATGTCACATAATAACTTTGTATTTGATGTGTTTGGACTGCAGGTCCATAATAATATCATTATATTTCCATTGCGTCTTTGCTCTTTTCCTTTTGCTTTTGGCCAAATTTCTATCTTCATATAAGATCCTCTTTAAAATCACATGATATTATTATCAAAAACATTGTAGACAATTTTATCTTTTTGGTTCCATTTTTCCTCTTGTGACATAACTTATTGAGATCTTTTTATTACTTTTCAGGTACCTGAGTCTCTTCTGGGGTTTTTTTTTTCAATAAGTTATATCTTGGCACTCTTTTAGAGCGCGTGCTTTCTTAATATGACTTCTAAATGTTATGCTCATTTTTATTCAATATAATTATATTGGACCCGATTAATCTCTCATGCTTCAGGCATGTCTCATTTTTATTTATACTAATTGGAGCATTTTCAGCTAGAATATGAGATTTAGTAATACCCACTTAATTAGGTTAGTAATATCATTTGGCAGATATTTTGTAATATCTCATGAATGCATTCTTTGATGAACTTCTGGTTCATACGATCATATATATGAGGATCTATACTTGATAATAATAATGCATTCTATATGTTATCTTTTCCAGCTACTCAATCTCTCCCCCTTATGTTGGGAAAACTTTGTTCATGTTGAAAAAACTTTGTCGAATAACAATTCATTAATCATACCATATAAGTCTTCTAAATTTATTTGTTTCATTTAGAAACATCCTTTCATTTCATTTAGAAAGAAGAAGGGGATTCTTTCTCAACATATATCCCAATTTTTTTTTTTAAATATCCATCTATGTGTATTGTGGTGGGCTGATAATAATAAATATTGCACATTTAAACTTTTAAGATGGAAATATTTGGCTCTTGACCAAAAGCCAATTTTTATTGGGAGAATTTGTTGGCTTGATATGTATAAGTGCTATAAAATGTCAAATCAAATATGTCAACACTGAAATGAAGATCTTATTCTCAAAAGTATTGATCTAGCTACTTCTGAAGGTTTTAATAAATTATTCTACTAGGTCATTCTATTAAGTATGCTTTTCAGCAATTTTCTAATAAATATAGGATAATCATTCAAAAGCTAAGATATAAACTCACTGGTGTTTGCTATAAAAATTTTCTGGATCACACTTTTCTGGAAATGTGCACTCAACATATATAATGATCTACTCAATTAGTCTTGCAAACTTCAGGTTGCAACCTAATAATAGCATATGTAACCATCTTATAGATACATCTATCAAATTTATTAAATACTTGTATGGTTTACATGCTATTGGTATGGGCCCATATATCTGAATTTGATATATTTCCAGAAATGTAGAGATCTATTCCACATTATAACTAGTGATATCAACATAATCAATTTTTCTTTGAGAACAAGAACTATATGAACTCTTGAATCATATAATATATTGTCTATTCATGAAGAATCTTCTGGTTCTTCAATGGATATCAATAATAATCATCAGTGATTTGTTACATCATATATATGATTCATGATGATCAAACAAGGCATACCAACTATAAATCTAATTGGACAAATAAACTTCTGGTTTACTGTAATAAGTTTCTTATATAAGTAAAACTTTATTTAACGTTAACTCACACTTGTATTAATTCAATTGGGCTATTGCATTTTAGACCCTTTGGAGAATCGAAGTTCTGATGTAGATCAATGGGTCATATTTTTCACTATCAATTCTTTGTCCGCCCAAAAAAAATTTGTATTAGTTCTTTAGGAACTATGTTAATATTTTTACACATAGTTCTTCAGGAACTATATGATTTAAGAAGAATGAGAAGAATTTATCTTAATAACATCGTAAAACATAACAATTAATAGTTATAAATATTATAGATTTAACTTGCAATGTACATAGAGTTCATACATGCTATAAAAAATAATTTTGTCCAACTAATCAAGATCAATATCAACTATTTATAATAAATTCTCTCATAAAGTTAAATAACTTACCATTCTCTCAATTCAAATGTGACATAAATATATGGTTTTTTTTCTCTCAAATGTCACAGCAAAAACTAATTTAATTGTAGATATACAATTTTCTTTTATACTTTTTCAAAATGTATGAACTTAAAGAATTAAATAATGTTTGAATTAATCCAATAATCATAATTTTTTTAAACTATAATTATCATTTGCACATGTTTAATTTATTATCATAAACAAACTCATATAATTAAAAAGAACACAAATATAGAATATCTTTTAAAATAAACTTTCTGAGAATAAAGTGTAAAATTGAACTTATTGTCAAAACTTTTTAACATTAATATATATTATTTATTTAATTTGTAATACTCAAAATATATCTTTTGAAAAATTACTTACACATTGTATGAATGCTTAACTTTTCTTTCTGGACTAATTTTTTTTATTTAGTCAAACTCAAAATAAATTTAAATGCTTATAATAAAATTTATTATCAGTAAACTACAATAAATCATTCAAACTAAGATTATACAAATAGCATATAAATTGACAAAATATTAATTTGTGCACCAATAGCACAATAAATATCAATATCATAATATGATGACCATCTTTTACACTATTATATTAATATGAAAATAAATTATATTCATATTTCATATTCTTAAATATGCAAATAACTTGGCACAATAAATAAATATTTCAAAGTGACCAATAACTACCTTTTGGTATATTTTGTTTCATACTACTCTTGGAATATTTATCAATATCTTAATATCAAATACTTATAATAATATGCTTCTACCAGTCAATCACCAAAAAAAAAAATAAAGTAATGTCATATAGCCTTCTGGATATAGCCTTCTGGGTTTATGATTATATTTTTCAACTTTGACTAATTGGAGCATATTTCTTCATAAGATATTACCTTAGGCATCATAACTACGTTTCATACTTTTCATAATATCTCTTGATCTTTTGGTTTCATAACCAATTTTAACATTTACCTTCAATGGATATACTTGTCCATATGACTTTTGGTCATATTGTAATATTTGCCCATAATTGTTTTTAACTATAGAAGTATCACCATCTTCTCAATTATGGTTCAATAGCCAAGACCAAAGATCATTGCCCTTAAATTATTAATTCCACCGATACAATGTGGTCATGTTCTTTATCACTCTTATAAACATGTTTATTACTTTTAATAGTATACAATCAATTTCTCCAAAAACTGGTCTTCAGGACTATAGCAAAAATATTTTAAATAAAACTCTTTTATGCCATTTGATGTTTGAACCATTAGTCTTCAGGGCTTTGATATTTGTCACTATTAGATCATCAAAGTACTATAAATTTTTCTTATTATTCCGTTTAAAGGCATCCATAGTG